ATATTTTCCCCCCCCCCCCCTCCCTACCTGATCCCACATCCCTCCTTCATCATTCTCTTAACGTAAAACTGCGTATCCTTAAAGTTAAATTCTTAAAAGCTAAATCTCACATTCATATAATATTATCTGTAAAACCGCGGTTAAAATATTCTCAGGTATAATAATATAGTGTATCAATATAGTATATCAATCGTTAATAGTAGTTAAAATTCACGGCAGCGACGGATGCCTTAACGGCAGGTATTCCAACCAATGCGTCGCGATAGTGTCCAATTATCATTTTAATATTGTTTTTGTTTCTTATCTGACATTTTCATCCCCATTTATAGCGTTTCCCATATCTGCAACCGTCATTTTGTTTCAGCCACTACCAACTTTGCATTCTCAAAATAGGGTAACAAAGCGTCCATTTTACTTCAACATATCTGTTTCCTTTCACTTTTTATATATATCTTCTTTCTCATATATATATCATGCACCAGTAGTTTCTGTTTTCTGTTACGCGCGTCCACATCCCTTGCTGTATTATGTAATTCGTGTGTACGCGGCGGCGTCTGTACTCGTAAACGTGCGTTTCATAATAATTAAATAATTGTATCGTTTGTAATTAATTGTATCGTTTCAATAGCGTTTCACGAATTGTATAACGTATTGTAATAAGTTTTTGTGGGGAGGGGTCTGTTTGGTATTTATTACTCGGCTTTGTACCAGCGGTGATTTTCTTCTCTCTTTTTCCTCCTTTTCTTCCCTTTGACCAAGGGACGACCGGAACTTTCGTTGTAATAGTTCCTGCCTTCTCCGTTCGCGTCGCTCTCATCGTCTTTATCTAATATTGTTGTACCAACTGGTTTCGACGGGTGATTGTCACCTTCACGGTCCCTGAAAAAACAATTCAAGCAATATTAAATTTTCGTGTCATTTTTAGGTAACCTTCGTTATGTACACTGAATATAAATGGCGACAGTGCCGATGAAACGATTTTTTTATATCTTTTTTATTCTAATTCTACACGACGAATTGGGCAACGTAGAGATCTGTGATTGGATACTTGTCAGACGTGTGTAAGCAATACTAATATTGAAGCACCTATGGCAGACTATGGTGTTAAGGTACTCGCTTTGAGGTGTCTCTTTTGAATTACTGTAATGGAGGAATAATATTCTGTACCTTTAGATAGTACTGTCTTCCACGGGTTTCGCTTTTGAAAGGAAGAGACACAAGACACCAGTGAAAAAAGATGGTAACGGAGAATATACTATTCTCTTTTCTATTTTTTATATCTTCGCTATTTCTTCTTTGTATTATAATAAGAATACAGAATACAAGGATTTTTACCTTCTCTGATGTCTTTTGGGATGCTTGGTGATAGAGAAGGCATTGAGGGAGTCTGATAAAGACTGGGTCGTACGCCTGTGGGCGGTAATGTAGCTATTTTGGATCTAAATCATTAGAAAGAAAAATTATTATTGATTTATGTAAGAAATTAAAATTAAGATTTATTTTTTAGTCAGTTTTTAACCTCTGTCTGCGAATCTTCTGATTTCTCCCGTCGAAGGGGATCGGCGTACCAGCGCCGGAGGCGTTCGAGGAATAAGATGGTGGCCGGTAAGGACGAGGACAACCTTGAACAACAGGTGGTGATGGTACCGGTGTATATTGTAATCTCGGATTACCCGGGACTCCAGGATGCATCAACCTCATATCTCCTAAAGGGTGGAAACAATGTGTAAATAAAGATATATTGATTTCGTAACAATTAATAACATATACCTTGTACGATATGGACATCCTGATACATTGGCAGCGGATAACGTGATTGATGAGTTTGTACGTGTCTGTCACCGCTTCCACCTCCGAAGAATTCATGCGCAGGAGTTGGGGATCTACTAGCCCTTTGAGAATTTCCAGGGGTCGAGGCTCTAACACCAGGAACGACCTGGGAGGCGGTAACAGATAAGACAAATAAAAAAAGACTCGATAAATTGCTACAGGAGATTGTCTTCTTCTGTCTGTCAATTCTTACAGGAAGATTTTGTCTGAAGACAAGATTCGGTACCAGTGCTGGCGTCATAAACGCGCCAGCGGGTGACGGTGATGTTACACCAGGACCAACTTGATGACCAAAACTTCCTGCAGTGATCATAGCTGGGGGAGCGTAACTTCCGGAGTTGACGTACATCAAGGGTAAACCTGGCATCTAAAAATCATGGTAAATTGAATTTATACGTGGATAAGTGTATCAAAAGAATTCCTGATGAAGACATCTAGGTGATCTAGGTTTACCTGATTCGACGTAGGCGTATTTGGTGGTGTAGGCACTCTATACATAACCGGTGCCGTCTGAATACCTGGTTGTCCTGGTGGATAGTACGCTGGTACCATGTGCAGCGGGGGCTGATACGCGAGTTCGCCAGGAGTCGGAGTAACGGATGGCATGGAATTGTATGGTACTGGGTAACTGCTTACATAATTAGCTAAACCAAAAGTATATATAAGTAGAAAATTGAAGGCCTGCTAACTCTTCTTCGTAGAGTATCCTTACAATTCGTTTGGCTGGGCGATGTCATGGTTTGCGTATTAAATGAATAACTCGTGCCGAATCTTTGTGGCTGATGACTGGCTGATCGGTCGGCAGGATTTTGTGCGACGGAAATCGCGGTCGCTGGAGGAGGCACGAAATACATGGTTTGCTGCGGCTGTGGTAGAAAATACGTAAATCAAATTAATAATTTATTCTTAAATTTATAATAACATAACATTTATTACAAAATAATATACCGGCATTTGATTAGGCGGCGGTTGCCAGTAATTCGGCGGTACATTCTGCACTGACTGTATAGTCTGATTTGTAGCTTGCGGTGTCTGAGGATAAGGATGCGATGGGGTTGATTGACTGTCTCCAGCAGCTCTCTGATCGTAGACATTCATCCCCATAAAATAACCAGATAGATCTGGCATATCCTGTTAATAAAAGATTTCGTGAAGACCCATCAAACATACCTTAGTCTGAGAAAGCACGTGGACACTTACACCCTGAGGTTGCTGTATGGTTCCTTGTTGCATGGGTACTGCATAATTAGTATACACAGTATTTTGGCTATAGACTACCTCAGCCTGTCCGTTGCTCTGTACAGTTGATTGACCCTGATTAGGATGCTGGGTCATCATCACAGTCGGTTGTGCCATAGTAGACGGATACACACCCTGGTTATATGATTCTGAGGTAGGTATATAACTTGTATACGGTTGGCCAGGTTGTCCATGAGCATATTCCTGTACCGTCGAGCATTTGACTAGAGGTTGCGGTTGAGAATTCTGCGGTGGCGCCGACATTGACATTGGCATTGGCGGTGGTGGTACTGCCGGAGGTGGTGTAAACGGTAAACTCGGTGACGTGGCGGAATTCGTCAATTGTGTACTGGTACTAGAGCTTGGATTATTGTTGGTCTTTGATTGTATATGCCGCTTGTTTTCGGATTTGGTATTATTGACAATGGATCTAGTGGGTGCGGGTGGCGGCTCAGGATGCTCCTGAGGACGCTTGACATTAGATTCAAGTGTCTCTTCTTGGTACGGTTTTGGTGGATTATCCGGATCAAATCGATAGATTGAACCGTCAGGGTTTGTATAGGGCTGATTCGTCTGGGGATTTATTATTATGCTTCCTCGTGGCACGCTAGAGATGCTTGTGACAGCCCACATGACTGTCTGGTTATTCGGCTCTGGAGATATTAGTTCCTGACTAGAGATCTGCGAGTGGTTGCATGTCATGGCTGTAACTGGTGAGGGCGAAGGGGATGGGGATATGGTTGCATCGCTTCGTTGACTTTGGGACTTGTAACCGCTGCTGGAGGGACTCAGGCGTGAGCACATACTGGTACCAGAATCTGATAATGGGAATATATATTTTAATATCAGGCATCATCTTTATTAGACACTTTTCACCTTTGAACTCACCCTGTTTGGTCAAACGTGCCCCTGCACTGTGGGTAGAGGTTACACTGTCACCACGTGATAACATCCCTCCGGTGTAACCACCAAAACTGAATGATTTTGAAACCGAAGGCCTGGATACACCACCCCTGTAGGATTCTCTACCATCGAAGGACTCACCCTTACATAATCTGGTTTGTCTATGGGAATAAGACAATAAATAATGAGATTATAATAATGAATATAACATGAATGATGTAATATATAATATCTTACCTTATAGAATGGTTCGAAGGATGAAGCAAACGATACCTGGCCGATGCATCAGAGCTTTCTGAAGATGACCAATAAGGCCAGGATACTACTTCGCCACTCTCACCACTGCTATCTTTGAATATCCTTCTTCTGGCTCTTTCGTATTCCTCTTCGCGTTCTTCGAAGCTTTTACTACGCCGACAGTAGTCCCCGGAGAGTCTATCCGGTGACTTGAAGTTAAAACTATCTTCGAAGGAGCTAGAGTCTCTCTTGAGTATGCTCCTACGTGGTTCTTCAGTGAGGATCAGATCATCACGTATATGTTCCTTGAACCGCATATCCGGTATCCGCATGTTTTTAGTCCTGCTAACGATCACACTCAGACCGGACTGATCCACGTTGTGCTCCATGCCAAAATAGGCAGCTACACGATGTACCAGCATTCTGTTGTAGGATGACATGTTAGGGAACCTGTGGCAGACCTTTTGCCTGTCCTTTGCGAACTCTATCAGATCCTTCTCAATCTTCAGGAGCACCGTACGATCTTTCTGATTTCGATTTATGGTGTCCGCGATAAATTGCTCCAGGTCGATCCCGGTACTATCCGTGTAGAGTTCGGTACTGCTATCTGCGGACAATACCGCAAGTAACGTACAGTCATAATCTAGTTTATTTTTGATTTCTAATTTAGTAGTATCGTAAGTAGTAGGTATCGTAGATACCTTTTTTCCACTTCCTGGCCCTACTAACTGTTTGAATAATTACTAACCTCTTGACAGACAGGGTGAGACACTGTCAAAGCTACCCTGGGATGAATTCTGATGTCTCAACTTGTGCCTTGATCCTGGCCTACTGACCGACAATGTGTTACCACACTGTGCTGAACACTGATTGTTACAGACATTCAAAGTGTTCGGCCTGCGTTGTTCAGACTTCTGATTGTTCACCGCGTTCTGCGCTAGGTTGATACTCTTAGGAGAGTGCTGAAGACCCTGACCAATCTTCGTCGGTGATATTGGCGTCTGCAGAAGACCAGGACGCTCATTGTGATTGTTCCTTGCGATACCGTTGTTATTGCACTTGGACGTTGCATTGGGACTTGTCACCTTGGCACGTTCTGCTTTATTGGAGCCATTCGTAGGACTTGTTGCGATCTTTGGTGAGTGGGCCTGAGAGGGACTAGACTGGCCTATAAGATCAGACAAAAATTCTACATTGCCCAGTGTCCTAGTATCAGGAACAGTAAAGGCAGATTTTTAATATTTCGAATTATTTCATTAATCAATAATAATTCTTCACCGTTTCTAGATGGTGCACGACAGGTTGGTGACGTTGCCGTGTTACGCATCTGTTTCGATGCATGGCTGCTGCACAGATTACTATTAACCATGGACTCGTTGTTATTCAGCTGTTTGGGGTAATTAGAATTTGGCGATAAACTAGTAGAAAATTTCTTCTCGCCCTCCGCCGATTGAGGACTGTGAGGTGAGGACGGTCCACTGTTATTCGGCTCCCTCGGCGGAGACGTTGATTCTCTCATGGCATGACTCCTGACTAAAAGTTTGACCTTTGTGTTTGCCTGAACAGGTAAGAAAAACTTTTATCACTTTAAATCTCATCAACATGATTGATCATCTTCTTATATACCTGAGAACTCTCTCAGATCCGTAGGAGCTCTTGATCAAACAATTTAACACGCATTTTTTTAATACTGTACCCTATTGCGAAAATTCTTATTCTCTGTATCCTTATCCACAACAGGACAGGACAGTGTGGCACGATGAATCGTGTTCTGACTCCCGAGATTGGCACCATTGGTATCACCCTCGATCATATCTGTTACGGATGCACCAGGATATGTAGTATTGCTCGCGTCCAAAATGAGACCGTGCCTGGAAGACGGCAAGGAGGGCATACCTCCACAGACCGTCGCTGGACTCTCAGGCTGGCTCTGAGATCTGCTACCTTTATGCACCACTATGCTTGGTACTGAAACAGAAGTAATTATTTATATTAATGACTTAAGCCACCTTATGAAAATTTTAATTCTTACAAGATTCAACCTTATCGTACTAAATGGGTATAGCTTTATTTAAGACTTACTTTCCAGCCGGGCCATGTGTTAAACATGTCATGAGGTTACGGAGTGTATGCCTTGGCAGCTTATGAATTCACACAGGGTTAGTAATAATGATGCACAATTTGACAAGATCTGCTGCTCTTCTGCAACTGTCTACGAGCCCAAATCCTTGCCTCTTCGCTACCTTCCAACATGGTATGCTGTAAGAAAATGAATTCTAGCTTACGGTGTGACACTCTCAAGATTTTTAATAATTTTACTATATACTTTGATCCTTATCTACATGTATAGTTTTCTATTTCTATTCTTTCAGTTCAGCTGCATAAGACATACTATATGAGTATAAGCCATTCTACATTTCTTTGGATGACAAATCTTATATGTCTATCCTGTCGCATTCACGTGGCTCCTAGCAGGTGAGTCACATCTGGCTTGCCAAATGATAACAGCTAGTATAATTCTATTCTTTCTAAAGCAGCCAATGTCCAACCAGCAGTGCTGCTAACTTTATCACCCTGTTCGCATTCAGGAATTAATGACTGCTGCGCTCTTATCGTTTGGCGGTGTTAAAGCACCGAGGCCAATGATCATGAAAATCATTCCTGATTTCCACGCTCTTCGTCGGGACGCTTGTGCTGGCCGCCACATAGCGGTAAGAAAGCATCAAGAGAATATAATTATTCTTATGATCAAAGTATATTACCTCGTGGCAAATCAGTTTTATCTTATCACAACAGAAATCATCACTAGGAGGTTTCTGATAATTTTTCAAAACAAATATTTCTATCAACAAAATGTTTCCCTCTATTAAAATTAGACTTTTCCTATAGCTCGAATCACTCTAAATTTGCTATCTTACCCGTCGATACTTTATTTATTGGTGAAATATGAGAGAAGCCAGAGATATTGGTTCTGTCTTTATGAAAAATCCATAGACTGCAATACGCCATTGAAACACCATAGTATTTTTTATATAAAAATTTTTAAAAATTGAGATTTTAAATAAAAATAGACACTTGAAATTGATATTATCCCTGACATATATTATTATCACTATAAATTCAATAAAATGTCATTGTACACAATACGTAAAAAGCTTTGCAATTCTCAATATCTCATTTGACTTTCACAGAATGGCGCACAATTAGCTAAATTTGAATAGCCACTTGCTAAGGATTGAATTCCCGCGCGAATACTGTTCCATGAACGTTGAGTCATTTCAAACGTGCTCAAATGCACCTGACAAACGTCTCATTGTTTCATATCAAAATCAATAAGGCAAATTGATCATCGTTCAATTATAGCCAATCATCATTCATGAAAAGCCATTAAGCAATAAGTCCCACGTTCTGCCACTGATATTTGAGACGTTACCTTTGAATTTTTCATATTTATTACGATTACCAATTAATCACTGATGATGCTTCCAGTATGAAATACGCGTGCAAAAGAACATTGTTCGACTGTACCAAAAATTATTTGTCCTCCCTGGACAACCAGGCGCATCCGTGAGATTTGAATCCGCGCACTCAGTGTGAAAGACTGAACGGCGATTTCGTCGTTCCGTAATAAAAGCCGCCAGAGTGGAATGGAGTTAGCTCGCATGCGTAAACCAAGACTGGCCTGAACTTACTATACCGAGTGTCTGTTAATGTAGATAATTCTCTGTGTAGGATTTTCGAAGTTACGAAAAAGGATTCTGAATACAGAACGTGGTGGATTGGAAGACATGAAAAATGGACCTGAAGCTATATATCTTCCAGAAAGAGAGTTCACTCTAATTGTAACACTAGACATTATAGAATTAATTAATAGGGACCGTAGATTTATCACTGTCTGCAAAAGAAGCAAAATCAGATGTGAGCTCGTTTTAGTCGTAATCGTTAATTTTAACCCCCTTGATTCTGTAGCCCCCGAATATACTTGGAGAAAATAATATTGACGTATTACAAAATAGAACCGCAAGGGGATTAATCTGATGACGCAAAGAATTTTTAGCTAACACTATACATATTTATGTTGATAAGAACTGTGATAACAATTGTGCTCAGTGACTAGGATGTGCTCTACAACTGCTGTATACTAATTAGATCAGCCTGACAGGATTTTGCAAGCTAGTACGTATAACAGAAAGAATATATGTGTATCTGGTTCTGCAAATGGTGTCTATGACCCATATAACACGCCCAGCGTAACTAGGTCATGCACCCCCGTGTTTCCCCTGGAATTGTACAGGGTGTCCCGAGTAAATCCCATCTAGAAATCGCTAGGGGTTAAGCAGCTAAATTGAGACTCACCCCCTTGACATTTTGTACTCAGTTATTTTTAACGGTAACAGTGTAATTTCGTTATACCAAAGACAGCGTGCTTAAGCGAATTACGAAAGATATTAAAATTTGACTTTTTAAATATTCAATCAGGTGTTCCGGACCCAGCCACATGTGCAAACAGTTCAATTTGAGAATTCACACAAGTCAGTTCGATTAGTTGATAGTGATTGTACAAAAATTTGTGATAAAAATGCCAAATGACTGACACAGAAATTTATCTTTGGTGACTTGTGCAGTTAAAAATATCTGTCAAGAAAATTCCTTGTCTAACAATTATTTAGAAGTATCGTGTTATTTTTTTGTAAAGAAGGAAAGAGAGAAAAGCTAATAGAGGAGAGAATAACGTCAGACATTCTCGCAGGAGCTCTTCCTGCCTCCCGGTTAACTTGCGTTGGGTTTAGGTTAGGTTACGCTGTTGCAGCAGCTTGGGGTGATGGCGGTAGTGAGCTTTGCGATATGTGCCTCTCTCTCTCTCTCCCCCCTTCCTTCCTTTCTCTATACTATGCTGGGGGTCCGATGCACCCCGTTGCCTTGGAAACGACCTACTCTCCCTGGATAGACGCATCGCGTACGGTCACTATGCTAAGCATCCCCAATAAAGGATAACCAGGAGCCTGGTTGGCCAATTCGCAAGGACTACAATACCGTGCGACTTCATGCAAATACTTGTATCCGTGTCCCGTGCAATCCTGAGGGATGGAATCCGTTGCAGAAATTTCATAATGAGAATAAAGGGCCAGTCAAGGTCCCAGTTACGCATGTACTAGCTCAGTAGAGACCTGGGCAGACCTTGGATTTACAAAAGAGAATTTGCAGTAGGTATATTATGTATATTTTCCCAATTGGAATTTAAGGTTAGGTTAGGTTAACCGTGTATTCTCCTATGATGAAATTGTAAGAGAAAAATGTTGATTATTCAGGCATGAAAAGTGAAGTCCAATAATGGTGCCGATTCATAGACACCAGATGGTGTTCCTTGTGAGTACTGATAAAACTTGTAATAGAATATTTTTAGTTTTAGGTTTCAGGTTATGTCATCAGTATTGATTTCTATATTAGACTAGTGCGCTCGAGAGCGTAGCTGTAGAATTATCTTTGGATGGTATTTAAATCTCGAATAAAACTATATTGGGAGATTGGAAAAATCTGCTGTTTCTCAATGGAAACGATCGATAACTGTCTTTCGTGCATTATCTGTCTTTTCGTGCGTATTTTAAGGATTTTTGGTTAAGATCGTTTTTCACTTTTATCTTTAAGAACGTCCAGTCGACAGCATCTACTTGTATACAGATACCGAACGTCTCTAAGAATTATTGGTATGAGGGACTTTCTTTTTCAATGTCTAAATTTTCCTTACTTAACAGAATTCATCTGGGCGAGTTCGGATCGATTCCCATGAGTTTTCACAATAATATATTCTTATGGTAATCAAACGTTTCATTCTGTCAAAGTAAAGCCCTATAAACGCCATAATATTCTGCTATTCCATTCGATGAACATTGTCGATGATTCTGATAGATTTTCTAAATATATTTTAGGATATACCAACAGTCAAAATTCTAATAAAAGCAACGACACCTACATCTTGACAAGTTGTAAGTGACAAAGAAAAGGAAATCAAAATGGCAGTTCGACCGCTGGACTTTCAAATAACAACCGTTGCCACTGAAGATCTATTTACCAACCAATACAAGTCAGTCAAACTCAAGTTAGGTAACGATCATTACCTATACCCAAAGAAAAGCACAATAATGTAGCAACAAACAGTGAAACTCTAGTTGTCTAACCTTTAATCTGAAGCTTCGAAATGGTCAACATCGCACCACCCCTAAGGGCCGTCACCAAAGTCTAGACCATTCACAAACAATTCCCAGTGGTACTCGACGGAAATATCTAGATATATCTTCATACATACAGAGTGGCTACGGTAACATTCAACTAAAAAAAGGAATACGAACACGCACGTACGTATATGCACGCCAGCAAAGTCATTCAGGGTGAGACGAAACAGAAAAAAATTTCCTAACCTTCCAGCCGTCGTAGTTCGATCCGTCTAGCACGACGACGCAACAGAACGGCTGTTAAAATTGTGTAGATTCTTGAAAAATCTTTCAACGTAACGTAACGCAACAACGATAGAGGTCTCTGACAAGTATGAGGTCAGTCCTTAGCACATGTAGCACTGGAGTAGAATGGCCGTAAACTCTTAACTACTGTAGGTAACTATCCCTGACAGTGGCAAAGAACGTTGCTTTTAGAGAGCGCGCGAAAATTCAAAATCTCCATAAGTTAATAAAGCAGAACACTCAACGAGGAATATCACAGTAGCATTGAGTTAACACAGGATGCTCATAGGACCATCCGGAAATATCTACGCGCCCGAGTCCTTCCAAAATGATATTTTTGGTACCGTGCTGGGCGTCGTTGTCGACGCTGCCGTCGGCATTACGTCGAATACAACGAGTAAGCTGTGAACTTACGAAACGGCGTGCACGCCAAAGCAGCAAGTTGATCCAGACTCTTTGGCACGTGCCTCGAGCTGTAAAACGTTGTCTAACGACGATCCATGAATTTACAGGTTCCTTAACTGATCATTGGACGGACACTGGAGATGTGCACCGAGACTGGATATAAATTTCAAAGGCAGCGAGTCAACCGATGGTACAAAACCGTCTGGGTAGCACGTGGGATTGTGACTGACGGGATTCGCGCCTTTGAGATGCTCCTCCGGTGGCATAAGCACTCGTGATCCCAGCCGGGCCTACCGAATGTTCACGGATCTTTCCGAAGAGCATCGAATACGAGGTACGTGTGTATATACATATTCTTTTATATATATACATATATAAGCAAGCGTGCGTGCATATATGTATATAATGTTCCACAGGACCATGCTCTGTATTATGTGGGGAACACCCGTTGCGTGGTAACTACGGGAACTCGCTCCGCAGGTTGCTGAACTCAGTGGCCCATATATCCGTAAATAGGTCAGAGACGAAGACAGATTACACGTAGAGAGGTTCTAGGAGCCCGGAAGTGATCGCCATGATGGAATTTTTAAAGGGGTTCGACTCGAACAAATTCTAAGTTCCATGCAGAAGAGTTCTTTATGCTCTGTCAATTCCTGAGACTGCAAGTGCTCCAGTTTATTGTCAATTACGTCGTAGAGAACTGCGCACAGCATTTATACATGGCTTTATTACGTTCATGAGCCCAGGGTGAAAAGAAAGAAAGTAAAGATGTACCCTGCTGACGGCTTATGTTTTTACCGTTTGAAAGAAGCAACCGTATAGCGGGGCAAAGCGCACGGTGGGCCGTGACGATTGGCGTACAGGGCCGTAAAAATAAGCGGCCGGCAGCCCCAGTGGCTATTTATAATGAAAATATTTTCGCGACGACGACGATGGCCGGCGACGGTGAGCGTCTCTATCAGCTGCTACTTGGCACGCATTACCACTTTGGAAAATAGTCTCTTTTTTTTTAAATATTTATATGTCTTTTTTTCGATCTCTCCTTACAGCATCCACTGTACACTAATTGACAATACGGAAGTGTAGCGTGGTATATTTCATGCGTGCCAACCATCCACTTCCGGTTTTATTGATAATTTGATACAGTACCTACCTTTACCAACGCTATAACTTAAACCCGATTGAGTTTCGAAGCAAACTCGCGAATTTCAGCAGTGAATATCCAGTCAATGTTATTAATAGAATCGTCGTGCGAAAAAGCCCCCAAGTCCATCCGGTCCACGAAGACTACTAGCCTCGGGATCCTGGCCAACGTCCAGGACTACGTCAAACCTCTGACGCCAGCTTCAATGAACGAGCTAGAGACGGGATTACTCCTGGTGATGCATTGGGTAGTTGTGTTAGAGTATTGAGACTATTTTTTTGTCTGTCAATTCATAATACGGCTTAATTAATTTTGTAACTGTCTAGATAAACGGTCTTTGGATTGTTTTGAAAAATTACACTTTGTATCACTGGATGAAGACTGACCGCTCGGAGTTGCTGTATACCCTCGATACTTATATACACGGCTTCTGGAGTAACGCTGTTTACATTATTTAAGTCCGTTGAATACAAGAGTAACCGGAAACACACAGGACTGACATGTACCTAACTCAGTGGAGGTAAATGGCATAAGGCTGATCCCACGAGCGTATTACAAGACACCCAGGGTATCTGGATGAATAAGATATACTTTTCCTGTGTCCATTGTGGCTCTTGTGGACGGGCCTTTATACATGCATAAGAGTAGGACATTTTCCAATAATTGTCATGGAGAGTTACTACCCTGTGAACTGTCTCAGGTACACCCACCACCTCGTCACCCACATGCATCCCCCAGATGGTTTGAAAAATTCAAAGCAACCGGTTGCGAATTCCACTGTTGCCAAAGGTCTCTACATATTTTTTTTTCTATTGGGAATTCAAGATGAATTACATAACCTGCTACCTAGCGCCGTTGCAGATGGTATATAAAGAATACAGTAGTTCGAGCAGTTCGAGAAACGAGGAGAAAAGAAATAAATTGATGAGAAGAGATGAAAGGAGAATCCGTTAAAAATTTATGTCCTGGATGAATTTACGTCCCGATGTGAATTATCACAGTGGACATTTGGCTCACGTCTGACAATTTAACGTCCGTCCCGATGTGAACGTCTGATCGCTTTCAGAAAAATGAATCTTTTATTCTCTTTAATTCTGTACGTTATGTTTAGCTCCAGGAAAAAAGTCTAGACGGCTGTCAATCCAAGAAAGAAACAGAAGAAGAGGATGATTCGTTTGATCAGATTTCATTTCATTGGTAAAACTGCAACGCTTGTACCAATACTGAAGAACTTTCAGTGATAGTGTAAAAGCAAGTAATGTTATTGAAATGATTATTATGAAGGGGTTGTAAGAAAATGTACCGTTAGTAATTCTGATACTGTATAACAGGGTATGATGTAATCCAGCCCCTTCGTCAGCAGATGACTCAGGGTTCGAGCCCGGGACCTAGGCCACCCGCCACGGCCTGTGGGTCACGTTCATGTACCGGATTGGCTTTTTCGAATGAGGAAACTTCAACCGAGTCACAATTGGGAGGTCATAGTTTTTATTTTACTTATCTCCAGAATAAGGGTCCTGGCTGAAAATAAATGTCAGTCTTCGAAGACTGTGGAAAATTAAATGAGAAAGGTTACAGTTAAATTTTTATTAACAATTAAAAAGTCCTTCTGCGTCATCCAAGCCCAGAATACAAATGAAGAACCAGATGATTATCATCGAATACAAAGCGGTCGTTAGCTTCCTGATAGGAGAGAGTCACGCAACCCCGTATTAAGGGTGCCTACCTAAGACCCACAGAACGTACGTACGGCAAGTAAATTTGGTAAGGCGTACGATAACTCTATGGGTGACCTTGTGATATCGATCAGTTATCAGAACAATTCCTGGAAGTGTTACTGGCTTCGCGTGTCAGCTAACGACTAAAATTTTCGATAACGACTTCTTCAAACTGAATACGTGTATGAAGGTTGAACAGCCATATTTTTTTAATCAACAGAAATGCTTTCACCCAACAAGTAAGCCAAGCCTTGAGCATAGGAACCAGCTGACTCTTATCAAAAGCCAAGGTACAGGTATCAGGTCTACATATAATTCAATTGATGTAGGAAAAATATGAATTTTTCATTCGGAATGAATCAGGCATCTAGAATCGATCATGAAGACAGCCCAAAAGCGAGGTCAGGGCATTCGTGACCTGATGAAATCGCGTGTTAACAAAACTCCCAAAAGCATACTCTGCTGTTTCCGCGATTCGACGCCGCTTAAAGGTGGCTTGATTGATGTAGGTGGATGACAGGTCGGTTGGGCTATTCCACGAATCAGCATCGTAGAGTACGAGGTCAAAGGTGAAAGAGGTAGATTCGAGTCTGACTCACTATCAACACAAGGTATTCATATGCCTCCATATACCACGTTGATGACCTTGGTAGATCAAGAATTAATTACTAGTATCCTTGACTAAGGGTTATCAAGGAATATCCAAGTGGGTGGATATTTAATCCTGACGTCTTTTCGTATTATGTCATTGCATGCTGTACAATGATAAAACTCTCCATGTTTAGATACATGTATCCAGCATATTAAGAGAAAGACGTGGCTAGATACCTATATACGTATAGCAAGTTCCTGACAGCATCCCAAGTCACGCCAGTGCACCGACTACCCTTAAGTTCTCGTATACATACATGAAGTGTATAACGGGTGCGCAAGAAACAGAAAGCTGAAGGGATGAAATTGCTAAAACTACAAGGTGACGGCATGGCTGTTCCATCAATGAATTTGGAAATGCCTAAGTGCTTCCCTTGAGTTCTCAGAGGGAAAAAATAAATCCTAAAAAACGTCTCATCTCCCGTGCTTCCTCGACGTGAAACCCAAGAAAAGCGATGGGGACCAGCACGAGAGCGACCGAATCGAAATGAAAGGGAGAATACTCCTCTTGGGCTCTTAGCAGTGGCAAACGAGTAGGTTGGTCAGTCAACTGTAAAATATCTCTGTATAAAAGAGAATTTGGTTTCACTTATTCAAGACAGAACGCTGCCACTGAGCTCTCGTCCTTGATCCTGTGCACGCAATGCAGAGGTACACGCTCCCTGTAAACCAGGGTAACGTCAGACTTGATAATTTATACTAAGGGTAAAATCGTACTCATTTGTCACTATGAAAATACGAGCTGTACCCCTTAGATACACGTGTGTCCATAGTAAAGTGATAATTAAATATATTCCTATAGGTTAAATGACTGACTAAAATTTTAATAATTTCAGAATAAGCACCTACGTCATGCTCTGTGGTTGCTACGAATTTCAAATGCCAATAACAATGGTAAGTGAAAGGAATGACTAATCGGTATATAACGTTGTACGTGGAATCATTTAAAGGTTACTAGCAACACTGTTTACCTCGTATCACATGAAGTCTACATCCATATACTGTGACAGGTAAGACACGTGTCTTGCGCTCTTGTATAATAAATTAATGGTAAGAAAAAAAAGGTTCGTACACGCTGTTAACATTGAACGTGAAATGAGCTAAGAAAATTTCTTTGTTTATAAGGCTGTGCCATCTTTTACTTCAGCCTCTCTTTTGACGAGGGTACAACCAGTTGGACAAAGAGAGTAGCGTCGTTGATGTCAGCCACGAGGATGATGAGCATGACAACGACGACGTGGGGACTGGCTGGGATGTCGTTGATGCGATGGGATATACAAGGTATAAGGTTGGATTCGGGTAGAGACGGCGAGCAGGGCTATAAAAGTAGGGCAGTAGTGCGGTAGAGCAATCAATAGAGGCTCGCTTCTGGTGGGGGTAACGCCACACGGTAAATATTAGTCGCTGGGGAAACATCAGGGGGATTCAGATTGGAAATGGCCACTGTGTATCACTGATAGGATGCGGAGGCACTTAGTGCATCAGACACACCGTGTCAGTAAGCAAGTAATAAACAGAATCCTGATGATTCTGTTGAAGAAACTTTGAAACATAATAAGTGATGTATCATTAAGATTGTTTCAATGCTTTGCTTCTTACAACGTGGAATTTCTTTTTGTAGGTATGAACCTTTAAGGATGTCACACGGTCCTCCTACTAAGGCTTTTATGACCTGGAAACCTTTACAAGTTCGTCATCAAGGCTTTTGCTAAAATTGTAACGTCTTCGCGTTGATCTTCTTGACCGTGGAGGTCTTTGATAAACGAGTTATATTAGCTGTACAAATTTTATGGTAGATCATTTAGTAGTAGTATCGTGTATCGCTGCGTGATATTAGCTCATAATTAATTTGTTAAGTTCAATAATACACCACGAGACACTGGTGTCCCCGTGGTCGATCGGTACACTACGCACTTAACTGTGGAACCACGGAATCACATATTACGTGAAAAGTCGTAAATGAAAAAAATTTGATGACAAAGATCCTTCAGTGATGAAGACTGCAATGGGTATTATTTTCTGATTGTATATGGCAATCGATTGCTTGTTGTCGCTCACGAGTGTAGTCAATAAAAGAATAAGGTTATAAATGTAAGGTTATAAGGTTACACGTAGAAAGGAACAATTAGATTTAGATCCAAACTCGACCAATTGTGTATTGTCTTCGAGAGGATTCAGTGTGTTACGACGAACAGACATTCCTCTGATCCTTAATGGACGTAGCGAAAACAAATCGTAGCCAGGAATGTGATCGCCAAAAGTGAGTAAAGGAGAAGTATCGTCGATGAGTCTTGCTAGGTACATTTTCGTGCATGCTGGTTCAAACTGAGGTCCAGGTTACAATTCAAGCAGTGCATTAAGAAATATCCATCGTTTTTACTCACCTTAATCTAAATATACCCGCGACACAAGTTCACCATTTCACTAATTTTCAACCACTCTGGCTAAACTGTGTCTGTTATTTTTTTTATCAGGGAAACCTAATGAGAATGATTGTGGCACGATCTACCCTGACTTTTTGGTACTAGAACGAGATGGATTGTGAGAAAATGAGAGTGGTGCCACGTAGGGACTATAGTCGGAAAATACGTAAAGATTCTGTGGGATTGTTATCTGGGGACGATGCTACAGTCGCTCCAGGCAGACAGTGTGAATTCTACCGTCAGGAAGTTAATGCGGAAGAATACAAATTTATGTTTATAATGCCTACAAAATTGCCTCTTAAATGCTTCTTATGTTTTTCTAATTGCTCCGCTGCTACTATGCAATGATTCATAAATATTTATTAAGATAGAAACTTATTTTTTTTTGCTATTTCAAATATCCAAGCAGATTTTCGCATGATTTTCTTGATGTATTAATTGCTCTCGATTTGCTCCATATTGCTCTGCAATTCGTTTTTTATTTTATAGTAGGGGATTGATTGTGTAACTTAAATGTGGTGAAAATCCGAAAATTGAATAGCTGTTAGCCAATCGTTGTGCTTGTCTTCTCTTGAACCTAATATGCGATTGGCTATCTTTCCGCGCTAACTTCCCGACGTTAGATAACATGCAGTCATTCATCTTTTTAGTCATCTTCAGTTTTCACTGACTGATTGCCGGTAAAACAGAAAGGTTGGTGACGTCACGTTAACATTTCAGGGAAAATTCAAGAGATGGAAACACCATCGGAAGTAAAGTTTTATATTCTGCGCTGCTTTGACGTTTTAGAATTTTACAAAATAACTATCTTTTTGTTGACGATTCTTTCGTGCGAATAAGGCAACGTAAACGATGAACGTAGACGTCGAGAGTGACGGAGAATCCAGCGACTCTATAGATGCAAATAATGGTAATAAATATCTTTAAAAAGTGTTGCGAATAACTCCATTTTACCATACATATAGCTAATAATTTATAGTGTAATCTTATTAATTAGAACTGTGGATATATAATTTAACCTGATTTAAATGGATTATAATCCAGGCTTAGAGATAGCAGCGAGAACAGGACCGAATGTAGCACCGTTTTCAATTAACAACCCTACGGAAGGTCCTCCGGACAGCACTTTTGATTTAACTTTACCAGCTACACATTCTGTATGTATAAAATATCCATATACCAGCTTGATAGTTGTCTTGGCTTAACATTAAATAATGATCTTAGTATTTGGGAAACAACCTGGAGGAGTTACGTGGAAGGACAATATTGGATGATGGAATTTATATGAACCTACCTCTGTTAGTAAAACAGTCAATAATATTTCCGGGGCAGACTCTTCCAATGACAATTTTTGATAAACCGACCATAGACATGCTTCAAAAATGTATCCAGAGTGACCGTACGTTTGGTGTGATTTGTTTGAATTACAATGAAAAAGTGGCAATTGGTACAACAGCAGAGATTTATCAATATATGGAAGGCAACGAAGCAGAAGGATTCCGTGTAAAAGCAAAAGGCAGACAACGTTTTAAAATCCTACAAGTCATACAGGTATAGTAATCAGTATCTTGCAAAATGATATTCTCAATGCTAAAACATTGTATATTTTCAATTCAACAGGGATATGGAAAAAGATCAGCGAACGTGAAGATTCTTCCTGAAATCACACTTGGACATCCTTTTCTAGACGCTCGACTAGCTTCTCTAGATAACCTAAGACTAACACCGAAAAATCTCGAAGAGGAACGTAAGCTAGATCGTATAGAAAGAATGGATGCAGCAGTAACACCTTGGCCAGCCTGGGTATATAAGCAGTACGATCCAAGAAGATTATCCCTAAAAATAAAACAGTACCTTCAGTTCATAGAGACACGTATGTAGAATGAATTACGTAACTCTAGTAGAATCTGTTTACATCCTAAATAATTTTAATCCTATGCGTAACATAAAGGAGGTAGCAACATACCAGAGGATCCTGTAGAGCTATCCTTTTGGATACCACATAATTTGTTGTTGGACGACAGCCAAAGAATAATGTTGCTAAATTACGACTGTGCAATATCCAGGCTGCAACGCGAACTTGCTTACCTAGACAAGGTAAATTATAGAAAATTTTGTATTCGAACCATTCCACAAAGAACTTTCTATCTATTATTTAATTGAAAGCAGGACAGAATTTTTGAGTGTCGTAACTGCAGCAGCATGATCTGTAAACAGTCTGACATGTTTCCAATGAGCAAAGAAGGACCACAAAGTGCATATTGCAATTTGGGTGGAGTTATACACGAGACAATTACAGTTTACAAAGCATACAACTTGGTGCAAAGCAGAGAACCAGCTTCGACAGAGTACAGTTGGTTTCCAGGGTGAGCGAAACAAAGGATCCTAGTAACTTCTGAATGCTATAAACTTTACTAATTCTTTACCACTTTATGTCTACCTAGATACGCGTGGACTATAGCACTTTGTACAGGATGTGGCATGCACATAGGATGGTTATTCACTGCTGTTCAAAAAGGCCTGAGGCCCGAAGCCGTATGGGGTCTTACAAGAAAAAGTCTAAGATCGCGTACAAGACGTAATAAAAAAAGAAGTGAGTCTCCAGGATATTGAGTTTCTTTTCACGAGGAATCAGCGACATTCTGAAGACCCTAAATACTCGCCTTTACGATATCCACTTTTAAGACTATGTTGCATATATCTGGATACTAATTGATGTTGAACAACATAAAAAACAAAGGACGCTATTATAATCGGCATAAATATCTAAGACTACTTTTACAGCCTTTAAAATCTATAGCATTGGCCGATATGCAAATAAGATATGATATACCACTTGGAATATCTTGTATTACTTTATCATGACGTCTCACCGTATTGTGGAATGAAAGCAATTGGATCTACAATAAAAGTAAATATTTATATCCGATATAAAACATTGCCTATTATATCTCCAAGTATATTGGGATTGGTTCGGTTTTGGATTGATGTGAAATATAAATAAAAAAGTACAACTGACCGATCGCTTCGACCATTGCTCTCGCATATCGTATATTTCTCGATTACCTTAAATCAATGAATTTTTATATAATAATAATCATCATCATTAATCATCATCATAGTCCTCATCATATCATCTCAATAATAATCGCAATTATTCATCACGTCGCATACGTTTTACACAGCTGGCTTTAATCGAATTCGTTCTCTCGCATTTTTCCTTCTTTTAATCATAATTCCCACATATCAATTAAACCATTTTATTTATTCACTCGCTATCTTTCTCTTTTATATCCTTGTAAGCTTCTTTCTCTCCCATTTCAAATGTATATCGCCATTATCCGCGATTCTCTCCTCGTGGGCTTTCAATTCAACGTCTTCGACGTAATCCTTGGACGTGAATTATCCAAACCTAGCCGGCCTGTTCATAATTAACGAGTTATGAGGAGAGCTCTTTAAGCTTTGCGCTTGCCGCCACTATTCATTTTGTGACACACGTCTCTCCCATCTCTCTTTCTGTCCCACATTGTTTTATCCTCCTCTGTCCACAGTGACTCCCGTGACCCTCGAACAATTTAATTTAATTTTTTTTTGATAACGGAAGAATATATCTGTGTAGCGTTGCGAAATCGTAATTGTAAGAGCAAATGAAATTTCAAGGATAACAGATTAATCGTTTGGCATACGGATAAAGTTCGTCTCTCGTCTTTGCGACTGTCCTTAACGTCCAGATCGTCCAGAGAGAGAACAAAGTTCTTGAAGAGGTCACGCTCGTCTAGCTGCGATTGTCCTCCGTAATGCGTGTCCTCTGTTATATCTGGGTGCTAAAATGTCTGCACTCATATATATGTGTATAACGTAAATTCTCCATTGCTGATTAGCGCGAGTCCTTTCGCTTCTTACTAGAAAGATTGAATTGCTTCCGTAAGTTATCCTGTGTCCACGTGTCCTTCGGTCCTTCGTAAATGGACCACAGCATTCACAAAGGACCGAAGGCGATTACATTGATGTACAGTGCACGTCCTCTCGTTCCTGGAGTTCGACCATATATTCCAGAAAAGAGAAAGAGGATTAAGCGAGGATACACACGAGGCGCTAAACCGTTCTGGATGTACAGTGACATTTTCTCTTGGTTTAATATATATTAAATAACATCGTCTTCGAGAAGAGTACGTTGGGACAGTATACCATGCCGCATTAAATCATTGTGGAATCGCATGGCGCCGATTTCAATTCTCATTAATCACGTATTCGTTTTTTGGTCCATTCGTAGTTGGATTACACTTAGATACAGATATGGAGGAGAAAAGAGAGAGAGAGAGAGAGAAAGAGAGTAAAGAGATACAGAAGACGAGAAGAAGACGTACGTCGTTGGGCACAATTCGATAAAGTGATTAGTCATCCTTATCGTCGCCTTTATTTCAGTCCCTCACTACGTTCTCCTTTCTATTCGCAGCTTTTGGCTCTTCAGCTGTTCTTTTCTTCATCATTTCTCTTGATTTATTCGACGACCACCTTCTCGAAATCCTGACGTCCGAAAGCTTGGCGACTCTTCAAATCCTCTTCCCACTTTTGTCTACGCGTTTACAAGTCTGCACAGACACAATTGATATTCTCTAGAATTTCAGTGACATTTTTATCTAAAGATCAAGAGAAGGTTATTCTCTATTTTAATCGTGTACAACTCACTCTCGATTTCCGACCCTGCAGAGATGAGTTTGGTGTGCGGCTGTGCAGCTGTGCTCGGCTGTTGGCTATTCAGTTGCGCGCTGGACGCTGGCGCAGCGAAGCCAGGAGGTGGCTGCATCGCCCAATGCTGCGGTGCGTTCTGCTCCTGTGATATTATAGATTAGGCGGAAATAAATATCGAGTGGAGATGAGCATAGGTCAGATGCTAGATATAAAAGCGATACGCCAATAAGGTAAAGGATCGTAATTGTAGCAAGGAACTGTGGTGTCGCACCTGTTGCGCATTGTGAGAGACAGTGTGCGATGGATGAGCATGTGGAAATTGCCAAGTGCCGGTAGCCTGGAAAGGCAGAGGCCTGGAGGAGCTAACAATGGCGGGATCGATCGAAGTCCAGTCGGCGATCGGTCCAAAATTATTCCAACCACCCTTCTGATGAAGGGGTTGATGGTGGAATTGTTGTTGCTGTTGCTGCTGTTGTTGCTGCTGATTGTTTATGTCACACCAATCTTTGAGGCTGTACACTGCAGCATCTCCTGCGCATTTGCCAACCCCTTGGGATAAAAGATAGTACTGCGATGAGCAATTGAGACTATCGGATTAACTAGCTGTTAGAGTATTGTATCGGAGAATTACCTGGGGCGTTAATTAGAGGATTACCATTGGGCAAATATGTCGTCTGCTGGGGCGGCTGCGTCCCGGTGAACAGAACGCCCGACGAATGACTCATGAACGGCAATATCTTACTACCTGTAGACATAACTAATTCCATAAGATATAACAGGGTGTCCAGAGGCATTTGGCAAATAGATGCCGTCGATACCTCCCTCTAGGACTTGGATACGTCTGTCTAGCGAACTGATGAGATGATTAACTAACCCGAGAGAGCAGTGTTCGTCGGCGCAGGCCTCGGTATACCCAAGCCAAATGAGTTCATGTGATTCGCAGCGGATCCCGGAAATCCTGGCGGTGGGAGCCTGCTACGCTGGGCAAGATTACTCGCCGTTACCGTTCCTGGTGCTGCACTAGGTGCTGTACTCGGGGGTAATAGATTCTGTGGAAGCCTCGACAGAAGCGAATGTGATTGTTGAAGCGCCTGGAGATTTTGCAGATGCTGCGCCTGTTGTTGTAGGTGAGCTATGTGAGCAACCTGGAGATAATGAGAGAATAACGTTAGGATGAGTTGGCGCAAAAAAATATAAAAAATTTTCGCAATTTCTAACTGCCGTTAACTACCTGCGGAAAGTGTTGCGGACCAAGACCAGCAAGTCCCTGTTGCTGCTGCGCCCTGCTTTGCTCCTCTCGTTCCCGTTGTTGCTGCTGTTGCTGCTGAAACAACCTCTGCTGCTGCAACTGAATCTCGTTCTCCATAAGTTCCGCCAGTGCCTTTTGAGTCTCGTGGAATGGATCGAAACCAAGATCATCCTCGGGTTTAACGTCGGCGCCGGGTTCCTCATGCTTGTGTACCTCGTCCAGGGTGGCGTGTCCATTCTGTTTGATGTATTCGCAATTTTCCTGGTTCTGCTGTGCCTTTACGCATGGTAGGCGAGATCTCTCATATCAAAAAAAATAAAGATACACCTTACTCAACTCACCTGCATAGTAAGCCTTTGCCTGAGTGAATTCTGCTGGAAGTCGGCCATGAACTTGGAAGCTGGCGAATTAACAAGAATACTCGAGGTGAAGGTGGCCGTGTTCCCGGTGATGTTCGCGGTGAATTGTGAATTCGTGTAGACCTCGCCATCGATGAAATCCTCATTGAAATTGACCCCAGGCGAGCCAGTGGGACTGGACTTACGGGCGACGTGATTCGACCTGGTGGACTCCGGTTGGAATCCAAAAGCCGCTTGCCAATCCTCACTGGAGTGTACCGCCGGCAAGGAGTCCGGTATGGCAGCCAAACCCGTACTCGTCCAGTCGAGAGATTGATTTGCTGCACGTGAAAGAAAAAACCTCTATAAAAATATCTTCTCCAGTGAGACAAAGAAAAACGTGACCTCCTGAAAAGTTCATCAGGTTCCCATCCAGGTTGGATCAGTGCCTGATGGTGTGTTGTATAAAAAATATCTTCCACCTGAACCTCCTCCTCTTACAATCACTACTACTGACACCTCGTTATACGCATATGGCAGAGCTAAGTATACCTCGAGTGAAGTCACATTTTTTCCTTTCTCTTTCTAGTTTGATTCCTCGTATTATTCTAAGGACACTACGTGCCTGTCTGAGAGGTAGGTGGCGTCGAGGCGACGACCGCAGATATTTTCTGGAAGCTGTTCGAGCTGAAGAAACTGTTATTGTCCGCCTGAAAGATGGACCGATGGTTGAGTTGCGTTTGGGAGCCGTTGACCAGCGGATTGCACTGCAGTCCTGGAGGAGGCTGCTGAACGTTTCCACCCTGGGAGGAGTTCGTGCTAGCCGGCGACGTACCTAGAGACGACACGCACAGACCTCTACACTACGAGACGCGATCGACTCGCTTTGCGCCTCCGTCAATGCCAGAATAAACAGCTCCATCATTTTTAAAATTACTGTTTCGCACACCTCGATTAAATTATTTATCATAAAACATTTATAAACCGGAGCCACGTGCACCTTCGCCCAGGAAACTGATCTATCCTCGTCCTTACCTCATCGGAGTCCCGCACAACTCCATTATCTTGACACTGCTTATTAATACTTACCTGGTGCACAGAAAATCAGATAGCATCATCGGTACAGTACACGTATGTTATATTTTGTCAGCAGTGAAAGCTCATTCTCGTACGAATCTATTTGTACTCTGACACTGAGTTGTGCAAAGAAAAAATTAATTAAAGGCACTGACAAAATCATTCTGACACAAGGTTCTCAAATTCCTGGGCATAGGATTTTCGTGGGATCGCGGCTAATTTTACTAGCGTAAGATAACCCGGTATTACAAGTCTCAGGATAAGATTATAGTAAGCGTACAGAAACAAAACATAAAACACGACTTCGATGTTGTTTTCTGATGAACTCTCTTTATTTTGGCATATAGTATTAATCAACTTTTAATGTATCATATATATCTATGTAGTACTAGTATAACTATACCGCGAATGTGTGTAACGTGGTATTTCATATCACTTTTATCTCTATGCTTGTTGAGAAATACACATATATAATGCGTGTGTGGGTGTGTGTGTTTAGATACTGTATGAACAGAGTGAGGCACATGTGTTGTTTTTGTTCTTTTACCATCATTCAGCACTATATGGCACTTGTGCTATATCGTTATCCGCAAATTCTACTTATTGAAGTTACACGTTTCTAATCTTACACGTCGATTCTTCGCTTTCTTTTAATATTAATTTCTCTCTAGGTCTTTTAAGTTCCTATGGGCTATCTCTTACGATATTCGTGAGAAAGTGGGTGGGAGCGGGGTGTCCTTCGTTGGAAAATACTTAGGATCATCCACCAAGATTAGTACAGATTAGATTAGAGTCTTTTTTTTAAGAGTAAAATACGAAAACCATTATAAGACCGAATTGATGGTTTCCTACTTCTTTTTCTGTTAAACAATAAAGACAGCCTTGTCGTTAGCACCGGTTTAGATTCGAAAGACATATTCTTGGATTTTTTACTTCTCTATGAGCCTTTCGACGTGGCGATAAATATCGAAGCTGGATTTAATAAACGAGCTCGGACGCTGGTTCAGCCAAGGGACAGTATTGACGTGAGTATCGATGGAGGTTGAGTATTTAGACAAAACAATCTCGTTCGGTTTCGATATAAAAGAAAGAAGAGAAGGGACAGAGTGAAATAGAGAAAGGAATACGAGGATTGTCAACAACGAAGGAGCACGCAGTCAATAATGAGAAAAATAACAGTGAGCATAAAGAACTCACCTAACACAGCCATGCCACCATTATCCTCGCCGGATTCCGTAAGACGTTCGCCATTATGATTTGGATTGGAATCCTCGGAACTGGAAACAGTACTAGCCGGTGTGCTTCCTTCGCGCTGAGGTTCAGCTTCGCTTTCGGACTGGCTGCGTTCGCCATTCTCCATAAGTCCATTCACCTTAACTTCTTCTGGAGCAGGTTTTTTTATCTGTGCAGATTGGGATTTTTGCTGCTGCTGTGATTGTAATTGTGACTGGGAATCAGGTTTGCAGCGTCCTGCAGTTTTCTGTGTCGCAGAAGACGACGATGACGATGACATCTGTTCTTCCCTTGGTGTGTCTCCGGTAAAATTTCTGCCTTCCTTGGTAATAGTTGTCTGCGAAGAGACCTGGGGACCCGAGCTCGATTCCGATCTGGATGTCGTCCTCGTACTCGTGCCATGTTTTTCTTTGTTCTGTGAGTTTTTATGCTTGTTCCTGGCAGCCTGTGCCTTGCTCTCACTGTTGCTCTTGCCACGTCTCTGTGAGCCCGCACTGTTCTCTCCTTTGTTGTTGTTGTTCTGAGAGGATGACAGGGTTGCGTGATTCTGTTGCACCGGATTGCTACCACTAGTGCCATTCAGCGAGTTTGACTGTGTTGTAGAGGTTTGCGTTGGCGGTGAGGATTCCTTGCCATTTGGCTGTGTGTCTAGGAAAGTAAAAGATAAATTGATAATTATTCATACTACATGGTTACAGTATATAGTACATTTTTCATAGTCGAAACTTACTGTTTGTTTGGCCAGGTTGTAACGAGGGCCAGGCCTCTTTAGACTGTGAACTAACAGTACCGTTTTCCCGGACGATACTCCCAGTGGAAGGTGGAGAAGGTGTCGGTTTCCTGGTGAACGTAATAATTCAAAGGTTTAGTGTTTTGTTACAAAGGTATGTTATAATTGCTGGAATTTACCGCTGTAAGGCCGAGGCGTGAGCGTGCAGGGACTGCACTAATTTTCTTTCATACTCCTGATGTTTGCCCTGGTGCATCTCCTCCTTGGTAAAGGAAGCTTCCTGGTCTCCTAAGTCGTGCAGGTACATGCAGTCTGGCTTTGGACAGGCCTGATTACGCATAAAATGCGAACAATACTTCGTCGTGCCTAAGGACGTTTTAACCGTCCTACCATCAACGACGATATTGTTCACCGCCTCTATCGCCCTCAGCGCGTCCTCTTGTCGCTGTTTTAATTCAACAATAAGCGTCCTGTTGCTTTCATTATAACAAAACATTGCACAGCGATAAAAATGGATCTCACTTACCTGGTAAGTGACATAGGCTGAGGCACTGGGTCCCTGCGATCCAGCATAGGAAGTACTCTGATTGATCACAACCTTATGAATCTTTCCAAACTTCCCAAAGTACTCATGCCTCTTCAACACCTGGAACACATCATAAATATTTCTATTGTTTCTTCACAGCACTACTAATAGAAGCTCTTCCATGAACTATTTCTGTCTGATAAGAAACACTCACGTCGGCATCTGCCAACCGCATTGGGAGGCCGACCACAAAGACGAGGTTCTTTTGCACAACGCGCACGTTTGCCAGATGTTTACGATTTTCTGTGACCCGCTGCTTGCGCTGCTGATCTTTCAGCCTCTTCTCCGCCTTCAACCTGATTACCGAGTGGCGCACAGACACAGACACATAGCACAATTAGTAACCACCAAGGATAAATACCCAAGACATAACCTCACTATCTTGGGTTTACCTCCCGATTTCTTCCTTCGTGAGGGGTTTGAAGTCGGCGGGGTTCTCCGAGTAGGCCTTCCTACACGCGGGACAAAGGCCATTCTCATCGGTGCGAATCCTATGCCAGCAGAATCGACAAATCTGATATCCACAGGTGCATGGAAAGAAGTTCAGGTCGTCAACTTCCAATGGCTCCATGCACAATGGACACTCGACTGCATCCTCGCCGCTTTGATTTAACACCGACATCCTCTCTCTCGGTTAACCACGCCTGGTACAAGTCACGGCAATGGGGAAGAAGAAAGGTTCCTTCGGAGCCCACGATTCCTATGGAGGAGGTTCATTAGAGTCAGACGATGATACACCAACACAACACTGATAACACTTACACGTAGGGCTTATATTAATTTCTTTGTACTAGATTGCCAACACTGTCTGCAACTTGAACTGTTGTGCTGGCTTCCTTTTGCTATCTACAACAGATACAAATTAATCATCAACAAATTCCATGAAGTATACTTAAAAGGGATATACCAGGATCTCTTGTGTAATGTAATCCCATGATGAACTTAAATCAATAAATGGATAATCCACTATGTACAACTATTTAAAATAAATAATATATAATTCTAAATTTAAGAAAAACCATTAAATTAGTTTAATCAAAAATTATGCAACAACTGTAAAGAAACGTAATATGCGTAAAGCGATGAAATTCTATAACAAAACCTGAAGAAAAAGTTGCCTCTGACAGTAGCTGTCACACCTAACAAAGAACGCCCAAGGAATGCGAAATCCCACGAACTCACGAAATCACAAAAAACTTGATACAGCACGTAAGAGACAAATCACAAAAGTAAGAAATCATCCAGGAAGAACCGTCCCTGCCGTTGAAATATCGCGAACGTATAAGGATGATACGGAAACAGCTGTTGATGGCGTTGGGAGGCAAAGAAACGTCACAGAGATCTTTAAATGTCCCATATAACCATAAAACAGATACGAAACCGTGAGAAAAACGTATTAACGACACTGGAACAACCTTCAAAAATCAGAAAAGACGCCAGCAAGCAGTATAAACCCAAGTCCATAAGCAGGTAGCTACGATTGAAGAAAATTGGGATAAAAGTGACGCCTCTCCCACTCGACGACGTATACCTACACCTATATCTATATAGATATATGTGTACACATATATATAGTCATACACCATACGTATATCATCTATACGTATATATCATCCATACGTATACCATCACACCCAATGTATATACGCACATATTATATAGCTATTCTAACTACACTGGCTCTCACTCCCACTCGTTTTTCCCTACCCACGCAAAGAATTGGTATATCTTTCGTTCTCGTCATATACATGTTCCCCCAGAACCCCTGTACGACAGCACATACAATCTATAGAAAAAGCAAGCTTGGGAAATCAGACTACTACGAGACAGGTACCATCGAACGGACTCCATTAATACTTCTCTCACATACTCGCAGAATCTCTAATTCTCTCTATCCCCCCTTTGTCTCTCTCCTTTTCACGCACACTGTAACACTGAATCTCTTTCTTTCTCCCTCTCTTTCACCGTCTGTCTTTTTCTGTCTCACTTAGTTAAGCACGCACTCTCCTTCTCTGTCGAGTCTTCGTCTCGAGGTAAAAGACTTGAGAATTTTAAGCTCCGATGTACACGTAGAGATCCAGAGGTATTTCCTGGAGGGTATGAGAGGATACAGGATAAATCTGAGGGCATAACGGGAATTAATACGTTCGGGAAGGTCAGTGATCTGGTGAATATCGTTAAGAGAGACAGAAGGAGACAGAGAAAGACACGGAGTCGGTCGCTGGGGTCGCCAAGTACCCCCCTCAGGAAGGGGCCAACCCGTTTTAACCTTAATTTCGACCATTTAGCACGTCAGCACCTTGCGGATTTCTAAATTGCTACTAGATTAACTACCCCGGGTATGGCTCGTCACCTCGCTAATAACTCCTGAGCCAATATTCCAACCGGGTTGTTTACTTACGTATCAACTTTTACACTACAAATCTTTTCTCTACTGGGAAATTTTTATGGTCGACGAGATCTGATCGTGCGCGAAACCACGACGCGCAAGAGCGGACGTTGCACGCGATAACGGTGGGGGATGTGTTTTAACCATAGGTTTTAATCTAATTTCAAACTAGATACCACGCTAGGGCTAAATTACCTCTAGGACCAATCGCAAGAAGCCATCTAGTTTCTTTCTTTTGGGATCAAGACTCTCATTCGTTGATTCTTTTAGACATGTTTCGGGCAGCGCGGCTGAATTATGTTTAAGGATAAAAGTGTACCGAGTGGGGGCGCTTGTCAAAACAATTATTAAATTCATTATTGTAACGTTATTAAGGCAGAGATAAGTGGGGAGATGCACAACGCTCCGGTTTTAGGCGATACCAAAAGCATGGCGCTAAATCGTAGCGGCGAGTCCGGGAGTAGGATTTCGTGATCATCGCCTCTGTCGATGTTACAGATTTCGCGTAACCGCGCGGGTCATGATCATCGTTCCAGCCGATATTGCAGTCAGCGAAAATAAATGGTTGCTCGTTGGTGGGGAAAAAGTTGCCGCCCCTCACAAACCGTTCTTGACTAACAGGCGGGGCAGCAAGGTCTTCCGTCCAACCGAACCCTAAACGTTTGTATGGACGTAATGCGCAAACAAATGTGTATATTCAAATAAAGTTCAAAGTTATAAGAAATGCATAGAAATATTGGTTTTCACTCTTTACCTCTTATCATGCCGAAAATGAACATTAAAAAATGAATGGCGAAATTCGTTGGTAAATGAAACGACCGAGAACAGTTCAAAGAGAAATTTTGAAATATCATAGATAAATATCTATAGAAAATTTAATTTAGAATTAAACGAGCATCGTGGCTGAGTCAATAACCTGTCAAGATATACCGCTGCTGGTTACGGGTTCGATCCCCCATGAAGAACTCTTTTTTCATCTTCTTTTTTTTTAT